TATATATATATATATATATATATATTAATATATACTGCTGCACTTTGGTGTGTGTGCGTGCGTGCGTGTTGAGTGAGTGACTGTATGCCTCTGTGTTGTTTGTTGTTGTTGATCTATATGTATGTTTGCTGTTTCCATTTGTGTGCATCGCGCTGTTCCTTTGGCATTGTTGGTTGTTGTTGTTGTTTGTCGTTGTGGGTATGCCCGAGTGAAGTGGATAGAGAAGAATCACAACACGAGATGAGCAGCAAGAACCACGGAAGCAACCACAAGACCCCCCCTCCTCCGCCAGAGGGTGTGCTGTCCGTCGTCCGTACCGCAGTTAAGAGCGGCCACACCGACTTGCTGCAGCGGCAATGCAATCAGCTCATAGGGCGTATCACGGTGCTCGCGACAATCATTCTGGAGACGACGAGCAACACACTCGACCGTGGCGCAACGCCGCGGGTGCGACACGTCGACCCAACAGTCACAGCGCTGCAAAAGCCCGGCGTCCACACAAATAATAATATCAAGAGTGGTAATAAAGGTGTTAGCGCCTCTGGTGGCTCTGTTGCGGGGAGCAAAACACCTAATCCGTCTTTGGGTACTCCCAAGCTCGCCTCTGTGGCGAGGAATTTGTTTACAACGGATACGCACTCGGCATCGACCCCCAGGGCGGGCGTCGGCGACAGCCGTAATGGTGCACTGCGCTGCAAGAGTGGCAATGCACTGTGGAGCCCCGGTGTAGGCGAATCGTCGCAGTACTTCATCGAGAAGCGGGAGCTCACCGATGAGGAAGTAGCAGCAGCACTCGCTGTGGTGGCGCGCGGTGAGCAGCACCCGTACCACGAGCTGATGCATATAGAGTCGTTTGAAGTAAAGGAATCTGGGAAAGCGTCACCACGTTGCGATGAGACACAGCGTCTCCTTTCCTACTGCTGTTTCACAAGGGCCATATACGCCCACTACCCTTCTGTTGCTGCAACAGCGACGCCGCGGAAAGAAAGCGGTAAAGGGGGACTGAATAAGCCGTTGCGTCGTCCAGGATCTGCCTCAAGGACAAAGTCTGGTAGCCTTAAGACAACGCCGTCAAAGACACCACGGGGGGGCACCACAAAGTGCAACGATGCCACACCACACGTGGCGGAAGCCGACGAGATGTCTGGGCGTGCTGGGGTCGTTGTGTGGGAGCCGGCACTTCCTCCGGGACAGCTCACTCATAGTGCGCCGAGTGCCACTAACAGTAAAAGAGCCGTCGTTCCCCCAGCGCGTGGCGATGGTGATGATGCTCCAGACGCAGATCTCTCCACCCCTGTGAACGGTGATATCCGTTTCATTTTGCGGTCTTCGGATCGGCTTTACAAGGTGTTTTTTTCATCCACAACAACGTTGTGCAGCGGCACAAATGAGGGGCACAACCACATTCAAGGCGCAAAACCGCCTATTCAACTGCGTCCGATCCCCACGACATCCTTCAACTGACGTGTGCGCCTCCAACACATGAGTGTCCGACAGGAAATTACAGTTTGTCTTTTTTTTTTTTT